GTCGAGTTCCTGCGCGCCTCCCTCAAGACCCTCATGGCCATCGACTACCGAGTGGTAACGGCCTGGACACCCCAGCTTTGCCGGGAGGCACCTAATCCCAGCAGCCCAAAGCCATCCCCGGCAGGCTCAGGGGGCTGGTTACCAACAGCCATCACCCCGGGGCCTTCTCCCACCCCAAATGCAGCCCAGGGACCCTCCTGTGCCCCACGGGCTCCAGATGTGCCCTGCCCTGGAGTGAGGGATGGGCTGGCTGACCTACCTGCATCTCCATCCCCACCACACCCGGCCGTGGGGCAGCGTGGGGGGGCAGGCAGGCTCATCCCCTGCCCCTCCACAGGTGGCCCTGCAGTGCCTCTGGAGCATCAAGATCGTGGTGCTGGTGAAACCGGAGCACGAGCGGCGCATCAGCCACGTCCACACCTCCAGCGTGAAAACCGGGGTCGCCAACACGCTGGGTAGGGATGGCATGGAATGGGATGCCCAGAATGACGGGGCAGCCCAAGGGCCAGGACAGGACCTCTGGGCTCTCCCAGAGCTCAGTAGCAGCACATCCCTGCAGGAAACAAGGGAGCTGTGGGTGTCTCCTTCCTTTTCAACGGGACCTCCTTCGGCTTCGTCAACTGCCACCTGACCTCTGGCAGTGAGAAGACCCACAGGTGATGGAGGGGCTCAGAGGGATGGGGCTGCCCCAGGGCAGGTGGGTGTCTCAGGGGGCTGGAGGAGCACTGAGGAGCTGTCCCTGTCCCCACCCAGCAGGGGCAGGATGAGGATGAGGTGTCTCACACAGGGTGGCTCACATGGTGCTGCCGTTCCTCCCCCCCCAGGCGTAACCAGAACTACAGTGACATCCTGCACTCCCTGGTCCTGGGTGACAAACGTCTGGGGGGCTTTGACCTCACCCTGCGCTTCACCCACCTCTTCTGGTTTGGGGACCTCAACTACCGCCTGGACATGGGCATGGAGGTGGGACCCCACAGGGACCACACTGGGCTCAGCAGGGCGAGAGGAGCCCCTGGGGCTCACTAACCCTTCCCCCTTGACACAGGACATCCTTGCCCATGTCACCAAGAAGGAGTTTCAAGCCCTCTTGGCTGTGGACCAGCTCAACCTGGAGCGGGAGAAGAACAAGGTGTTCCTGCGATTCAGTGAGTGTGGGGACAAGGGCGCTGCTCCCCCCACTGGGACAGTGGCACCTGGGGTCCCCACAGCCCTCCCCCTGTGCCACCCCCAGCACTTGGGGGTCCCCTGTCCTGGCACAGCCCTGCACAAGGTGCCCAGAGCCTGGTGGACCTTGGTGTGCACTGTGCCAGGGGTGCCAGCTGTGTGAGCCTCAGATGTGGACCGTGACTCCCTACAGGGACAGTTGCTGTGGGGACAGGCAGGGACAATGGCCCCTGTGCCACCTCCATGTCTTTGTCCCCAGGTGAAGGTGACATCTCCTTCCCCCCCACGTACCGGTACGAGCGGGGCTCCCGGGACACCTACGTGTGGCAGAAGTTCAAGCACACGGGGGTGAGTTCCTGGAGTCTCCTTCCAAACAGGACATCTCTGGGAATGGTGACAGCAGGGTGCCAAGGGGCTGCATGGTGATCTCCTCCCCCACACCTCCACCATCCTGTTCCCTCCCCAGAGTGGGTCTGAGCAGGAGGGAACTCACTTTCTGGGGTGCTGGGAGGTCTTTCTGGCCTGTGGGAACCACACCCGAGGGGATCAGCACCACCTGCTTTCCCCACTTCTAGGTGAGGATCAACGTCCCCTCGTGGTGTGACCGCATCCTGTGGAAGTCACACCCGGAGACCCATGTGGTCTGTAACTCCTACGGTGAGTGAAAGCCCAGCAATGGGGGAGCTTGGGGTGGCCAGTGCTGCCCAGGACCCCAGGGCTTGGGGACTGTCACCCAGCTGTCCCCTGCCACCATCCAGGCTGCACCGATGACATCGTCACCAGCGACCACTCGCCCGTCTTTGCCACCTTCGAGGTGGGAGTGACATCGCAGTTTGTGCCCAAGGAAGGTAAGGGGTTGGGGTGTGCCACCCCTGTGCCCAGTTTGGGGTGGGCCCTGGCACACGCTGACCCACTGGTACCTGCCTGCAGCCCCTGGCTCCAGCCCCGAGGCGCTGGCCTGCATCGAGTGGGAGAGCCTCGAGGTGATCCTGAAAACCACCAGCCACAGCAAGTGCTACATCGAGTTCCACTCATACTGCCTGGAGGGTGAGGGGGTGCCTGGGGTGCTGGGGGTGCATCAAGGGGGTGATCTGCCCCTGCTGGAGCTGTGCCCCCACTGTCGCTCACAGAGATGCAGCGGAGTGGGGAGAACACCTTCCAGAACTGTGACATCCCTGGATTCCTCAAGTTGGGCTGGTCCGCAAAGCACTTACCTGTGGTACACAGCCCTGGAGCATCCTCCCCCCTCCTCTTCCCCATCCCTCCCTCTGAATCCGAACCCTGAGCCTCAAGGGGTGCTGGGGGCTGTCACCACCCCCAGGGCAGAGCCTCCCTGTGCCCCCCTACCCCGCAGCAGCCCCCAGAGCTCCCCTCTCTCCACATGCAGCTGAACCCCATCCTGCCAGACCTGGAGTACCTGGGGGACCAGCACCTGCTCCTCAGCATCAAGGGCGTGGAGAGCTGCGAGTCCTACGGTAGGTGCAGGATGGTGACATGAGGACACCGTGGTG